AAATAAAAGTTGCTGAATTACTCGGTATAGCAGCTAATAAAATTGTATGTCGAATAAAAAGGGTAGGAGGAGCTTTTGGTGGAAAAGAATCAAAAAGTCTTATGTTATCAATGGCATTAGCAGTCGGTGCTTGGCATCTTAGAAAACCTATTAGGTGTATGTTAAGTCGTGAAGAAGATATTATGATTACAGGACAAAGACATCCATTCTCAGCGAAATGGAAAGCTGGTTTAACTAAAGATGGAAAAATTACGGCGATGGATTCGCAAGTAATGATCTTTTTTGAAAATCGGACTTTTTTTCATTTTTTTATTTTAGTATTCTTTATAACTTTTTTTATTATACTTAAAAGTATTATGCTAATGGTGGATGGTCAATGGATGTATCCATAATTGTAGTTCAAGCTTGTTTACAATGCTCTGATTGTTGTTATTATATTCCCAACGTACAATTTATGGGACGTGTTTGCAAGACCAATATTCATTCACATACAGCATTTAGAGGATTTGGACGTCCTCAAGGAACAGCTATTACTGAAAGTATGCTGTCTGAAGTTGCTGATCGTATGGGAATTGATGTTAATGAATTGAGGGTTTGTAATTTGTAAATATGTTTTATATATTAGAGTTATTATTTTTAGTATAATGCTTTTCTTTTGAGCAGGAGAAGAATTTCTACGTGGAAGGCCAATTAACTCCCTGTAATCAAACGTTCAAAGATTGGTATTTACCTTTGGTCTATCAACAAGTCAAAGAAATTAGTGAATTTGAAAAAAGAAGAAAAGAAGTTGATGAATTTAATTCTAAGAATAAATGGCGTAAAAGGGGTTTGTCACTCATACCAATCAAGTTTGGAGTCGCTTTTCCTGTACCGTTTTTGAATCAAGCTGGTGCTTTAGTACATATTTACCTCGACGGGAGCGTTCTTATAAGTCATAGTGATTATCATTTTTTTCTTATATTTTTATTCACTTTCTTTATGAATTTGACTGTTGATTGTCTTGTATTTTTTAAATTTAGGTGGGGTTGAGTTGGGACAAGGGCTTAATACAAAAATGTTACAGATTGCTAGTGAGACATTGGATGTTCCTATGGATACAGGCAAAAAATTTTTATGACATTTGTGTTATATACCTAGTAAATATTGTCTGGTAATCTACATAATTGGTTTTCCCAA